GGAAAATTAAAGCACATGGAATAGGAGGAGAAATTTTTTCCTGGATAGAGGCATGGTTGACAAATAGGCAGCAGAGAGTTTGCATAAATGGGGAGAAATCAGAGTGGGGAAGCGTCACGAGCGGTGTTCCACAGGGGTCAGTGTTGGGCCCCCTGCTGTTCACAATCTACATAAACGACATAGATGAGGGCATAAAGAGCGACATCGGCAAGTTTGCCGATGCCACCAAAATAGGCCGTCGAATTCATTCTGACGAGGACATTCGAGCACTCCAGGAAGATTTGAATAGACTGATGCAGTGGTCGGAGAAGTGGCAGATGCAGTTTAATATAGACAAATGCAAAGTTCTAAATGTTGGACAGGACAATAACCATGCCACATATAAACTAAATAATGTAGATCTTAATATTACGGATTGCGAAAAAGATTTAGGAGTTCTGGTTAGCAGTAATCTGAAACCAAGTGTTCGCAATAAAGCTAATAGAATCCTTGGCTTCATATCAAGAAGCATAAATAATAGGAGTCCTCAGGTTGTTCTTCATTATTATTATTATAATAAAAAAAAGAAGCGCTAAGCAGGTTGTTCTTCAACTCTATACATCCTTGGTTAGGCCTCATTTAGATTATGCTGCACAGTTTTGGTCACCGTATTACAGAATGGATATAAATTCTCTGGAAAATGTACAAAGGAGGATGACAAAGTTGATCCCATGTATCAGAAACCTTCCCTATGAGGATAGACTAAGGGCCCTGAAACTGCACTCTCTAGAAAGACGTAGAATTAGGGGGTATATGATTGAGGTGTATAAATGGAAGACAGGAATAAATAAAGGGGATGTAAATAGTGTGCTGAAAATATCTAGCCTAGACAGGACTCGCAGCAATGGTTTTAAGTTGGAAAAATTCAGATTCAGGAAGGATATAGGAAAGTACTGGTTTGGTAATAGAGTTGTGGATGAGTGGAACAAACTCCCAAGTACCGTTATAGAGGCCAGAACGTTGTAGCTTTAAAAATAGGTTGGATAAATACATGAGTAGATGTGGGTGGGTGTGAGTTAGACCTGATAGCTTGTGCTACCAGGTCGGTTGCCGTGTTCCTCCCTTAAGTCAATGTGACCTGACCTGACTAGGTTGGGTGCAGGAGACTTGGACCTGCCTCGCATGGGCCAGTAGGCCTTCTGCACTGTTCCTTCGTTCTTATGTTCTTATGTGTTGAATGATGGACAGGTGACTTGACCGTATCCAGGTGTTACTAAATGACGGACAGGTGGGCTAACCCCATTCGGGTGTTGCTGAATGATGGATAGGCGACCTGACCCCATTCAGGTTTTCCTGAATGACGGACAGGTGACCTGATCCCTGTCAGGTGTTGCTGAATGATGGACAGGTGACATGACCCCATTCGGGTATTGCTGAAAGATGGACAGGTGACCTGACCCCATTTGGGTGTTGCTGAATAAAAGACAGGTGACTCGACGCTCTCCACAGGTATTAAATAAGGGGCCTAGGTGAGCCATCATTCACTTCAGTGATAGCGTTTTCCTTCACCAAGGGAGCATTCAGCCTCACCTCACGACCCAAAACTTTTTAATTAACCTTCTTTTGGCCACACCGAGCTATCAGTCATATTTTTATTCGTACCCCATGTTAATATTCGCCCAGCACTCACTTCCTCACTCCCTCACTTGCTCAATCACTGCTAGACTTTATTAAGACATTCTTTGGGTCATTAACCACGAAGCTCAATTAACTATGGTGGTAAATGTGTTGGTTTTAAATCCTATTGACTGCACGAGCGTAATTAAGGCTGTATTTTTTCCCTGTACACCACCAGCCAAGAAAACTTTTATTTCTAAAAATAGAAAATAAAGTGAACCATCGCGCTCTGTTTCCAAGAAAACTGAGACAAAGGAAAGTTTCTCTACCCACTCATAATAGGGAGGGGAAGAATGGAGAGGGGAAGAATAGAGAGGGGAAGAACTATACCTGGAGGGTGCTTTGGGGTACAACACCCCCACGGCCCAGTCCATGAACTAGGGTATAATAGTTGTGGGTAGACAGGAGGATAGGAATAATAAAGGTTGTGGGTAGACTGGAAGAAAGATATAAAGTTGTAAATATACAGGGAGAGAGAGAGATAGCAAAAATTGTGGGTAGGCAGGAAGAAACAGGTAAGAAAGGTGAGCAGACGGGAACAGAGGGGCAAGATAGGTATAAGTAAACAGGAAGAAAGGGGCAAGATATGCATAAGTAAACAGGAAGAGAAGGAAGAAAGGTTGTAAGTAGACAGGGAGAGGAGAGAAAAGTGGGACAGATTGTGGGTAGACAGGAAATGAAAAGTAGGAAACGTTGTGGGTAGACATGAAGAGAGAGGTAAGGTGAGCAGACAGGAAGATAGGAAAGAAAGTTTGTGGGTAGACAGGAAGAGACAGGGGTAAGAAAGGGTGAGAGTGTGTAAGAAAGATTGTAATACATGGAGTATACCTGGAGAGGGTTTCAGGGGTCAACACCCCCGCGACCCGGTCTGTGGCCAGGCCTCGTGGTGGACCAGGGCCTGATCAACCAGGCTATTACTATTAGTGGTACATAAACCGACGTCGAACCATAACCCAGTGGGTCAAGTTCTGACTTTAGGTGCCTGTCCAGCGCCTTCTTGAAGACAGCTATGGGTCTATTGGTAATCCCCCTTATGTATGCTAATAATTAAGCAGACAGAATGAGAGATGAAAAAGAAACTTGAGAATAGAAAGGAAGAGGTAGGAAAAGTTATGAACAGACAGGAAGAACGTGTTAAGAAGCTTGTGGATAGACAGGAAAGATCGTGGATAGACAGGAAGAGAGGAGTAAGAAAGGTTGCATACCCTGACCACTTGGAGTGGGTTTTAAGGGCATAGTTTTGTACCATAGTGACGAGTGTGGTTCAAAGTGTCATGCCACCTACTGTCCCTGTTCACTCATCAGTAAACAGGCAATTGGATGTTAGACATAGATTAAAGACATATATTATATTCTCGGGTAAACATTAAACAGTCCTAGTAGAATCGGATGTCTACAGATTTGATGCTATGAAGAGGAGGGTAGCTCCAATTCTTCAGATTAAGAACCTTTCACCAGTAAAGCATCTCCTTAACTGTGTGGTTTAATAAAGCAAAGAGCTGATTTAAATTTAGTTTTGCTAAAACATATGAGAATCCTATAGGAAGTAGGTTCATGGCTATTATTATTATTATTATTATTATTATTATAAAAAGGGCTAAATTGGTATGGGTCATACAGTGTAGGTTCATGAATTATTATAATCAAAATTAAATTAAATTATGAGGAATCAAATACGAAATGCGAGTTGACACAGTTACTTTTTGCTGATGATACTGTGCTTCTGGGAGATTCTAAAGAGAAGTTACAAAGGTTAGTGGACAAGTTCGGGGGGGTAGAGGACTGTAAAGAAAGTTGAAAGCGAACATAGATAATAGTATGGTGATGAAGGTATCAAACGAGTTATGAAAAGAAAAATTGAATATCACATTGGAGGAAGGGAGTATGGAAGAAGTGAATGTGTTCAGATATTTGGGAGTAGATTTGTCAGCAATAGGTTTATGAAAGACGAAGTTAACCATAGAATTGATGAAAGAAAAAAGGCGAGTGGTGCATTGAGGTATCTGTGGAGACAAAAAACGTTGTCCATGGAGGCAAAGAAAGATATGTGTGAGAATATAGTGGTACAAACACTCTTATATGGGTATGAGGCATGGATTATGAATGCTGCAGCAAGAAAGAAGCTGAAGGCAGTGATGTCGCATCTAAGGGCAATGTCTAGTGTAAATATTATACAGAGAATTCGTAGTGTGGAAACTAGGAGTGGGTGTGGAGTTACTAAAAGTATTATTCAGAGGGCTGAAGAGGGATTATTGAGGTGGTTTGGTCATTTAGAGAGGACAGAGCAAAATAGGTTGATTAGGAGGGTATATAAATCTGTAGAGTGCTTGTGGAACCACAGAATACATTAACTTTATTCTATTATTATTATATTTTAGAAGTCATAGAGCACATGGAAAATGGGAAGGAATCAAATTTAATCCAAAGAAGTGAACACTAGATCCTGTTCCTTGAATTAAGAGCTCTTCACCAGCATTAGAACAACCCTCACATCTCCGTTGTTCTGGATTGACAGATGGCTTTCTTTCTTTCAACAAACTGGCTGTATCCCACAGAGGCAGGGTGGCCCAAAAAGAAAAACAAAAGTTTCTCTTTTTCAATTTAGTAATTTATACAGGAGAAGAGGTCACTAGCCCCTTGCTTCCGGCATTTTAGTTGCCTCTTACAACACGCATGGCTTACGGAGGAAGAATTCTGTTCCACTTCCCCATGGAGAAAAGAGGAAATAAACAGGAACAAGAACTAGAAAGAAATAGAAGAAAACCCAGAGGGGTGTGTATATATATGCTTGTACATGTATGTATAGAGTGACCTAAGTGTAAGTAGAAGTAGCAAGACGTACCTGTAATCTTGCATATTTATGAGACAGACAAAAGACACCAGTAATCCTACCATCATGTAAAACAATTACAGGCTTTCGTTTCACACTCACTTGGCAGGACGATAGTACCTCCCTGGGTGGTTGCTGTCTACCAACCTACTACCTCTTGACAGATGGCTGTTTGATTAAAAAAAAAAAAAGTGACAAATAAGTCAAATCTGAAAGGTAATGAGAAATTACCACAGACAAGAAAAGAGGTTGCTATAAAGACATTATACTCCATGGGGAAGTGGAGAAGAATCCTTCCTCTGTAATCTATGCATGTCGTAAGAGGCGACTAAAATACCAGGAACAAGGGGCTAGTAACCCCTTCTTCTGTATAAATTACTAAATGTTAAACAATGAAAGGTTTTCTCTTTTTCAAGTCACACTGCCTCTGTGGGAGGCAACTGGTATGTTGAAAAAAAAGAAGAAACTTAACACCATCTCACTTCACACATTCAAAAGGTTAAAAATGTAGAGG